AAAAAAAAAAAAAAAAAAAAAAAAAAAAAAAAAAAAAAAAAAAAAAGAATAGCAGAGCAGAATCGCGTTAGCACACAGCATAATATCATCGTACAACGCAATAGCATACCATAGCAGAAGATCATAGCGTAGCACAATAGCATAGCACACCAGATTAGCGTAGCAGAGCAGAATCGCATAGCACAACAGAAAAATAACATCGCACAACAAAATCGCATAGCAGAGCAGTACAACATCGAACAAGAGTTTCTCTTAGCGGAGCACAATAGAAATCGTCTATATCCTGTAGTCTTTATCTAGACTGAAAGGTACGCCAAATACAGTGTCGTCATTTGCCTGAAGCTTAGCACGGGATTACGTAACCCCTTATAACATAAACGCACAGAATAGCATGAGCCGAAATAGCCTATCCTATAGTCTGGATCTAGACTGAAAGGTACGCCAAATACAGTTATTAGTATGCTGCTGTGTGGCCAGACCTTTAGGGCCTCATTTGCTGGCTTCAACTTATTATAGTTACTAGTATGCTGCACTGTGGCCAGACCTTTAGGGCCGCAGGCAATTATCGCCGTATCTGTATCTAGACTGAAAGGTACGCCAAATACAGTTATATTTACCGTGCGTTCTATTCGTATGCAGACGGGAGCAGGGAGGAGATGTCTTGTTTCCCTCGTTCTCTTTATGGTAAAAAGAAGAGAGAGAGAGAGAGAGAGAGAGAGAGAGAGAGAGAGAGAGAGAACAGAGAAGATTAATATGAATAAAACATTACCAGAGGCAGTTTGCTAAAAATGGAAAAGGGGGAAGAATGAAAAATCAAGGGCAATTGAGACATCAGAGCTAGGATTAAAGTTCATGTGGTTGTTCTCCATCTCTCTCTCTCTCTCTCTCCTCTCTCTCTCCTCTCTCCTCTCTCCTCTCGCTCTTTCTCACTCTTTTCTTGTGCCTGTTTCTCTGTTAAGAACGGAGTAGGTTTGTGTGGATCCTTGGCCAGAGAATTTGACACGTGGACAAGGAATGGGCCTAAGGCTGTACGGAAGCAGCAGCTATTATGGGACCCGGACGTAGGCCAGCTGATTGTACACGTGTCTAATTCTGGGACGTGCAAGGGAATGGTTCTGAAGGAGATGGGGGAGAAGGCGAGCGGGAAGGGTAAGACGCAAATGATGCTGATGCTGATTACGATGATGATGAGGAGGAGGAGGAGGAGGAGGATGTGATGAGGATGATGATGAGGGGAGCACAAGGGTGATGAGGAGAGAGGACAGGAAAAAGAGAGCGGTAAGGAGGAGGAGGAGGAGGAGGAGAGGATTGGAAGAAGGAGAGAGGGACGAGGAGATGGCTGGAGAACGGAACCGGGATGATGATGAGCGAGAGAGAGAGAGAGAGAGAGAGAGAGAGAGAGAGAGAGAGAGGAGAGAGAATATGGAGAGGTCCCTCTTGCTAGGAGGAGGAGAGAGGGATGAGGAGATGGCTGGATAACGGAACCGGGATGATGATATGAGAGAGAGAGAGAGAGAGAGAGAGAGAGAGAGAGAGAGAGAGAGAGAGGTCCCTCTTGGTAATGACGCCGTGGTCAATCTTGTGTGATGTGGACCTCCTTTTTATTCACAGAGAGGATCATGCCTTTCTCTCTCTCACCATGCCACGTGTCATCGCTGTCTCTCTTGTGAGACTGTGTTCGAAACCAGTCCGCGAGCCTTCGCTGTCTCTCTTGTGAGTTTGTGTACTCTCTCTCTCTCTGTTTCAATCATCGTGTGGACTTTCACTGATTTCGTTTTCATCCTGTTGATGATGTGGATGCCATCTGCTGACTGATTGACTGTTCATCGTGTGGAATTCCTTCCTTCCTCCTCTCCCCTCCCCCCCCTTTCTCTTCTCTTCCTTCCTCTTCTTTCTTCTTTATTTAAACAGGGCGACGGCCTTTGAAACTGTTTTCACCTTAACAATAGCAGATGTAGGTCCCAGGGCTCGATCCCTAGACCTTACCACGCCTGTGTCCAGTATCGAGTTGACCCCTGTGTGTTTGAACCCGTGACCTGTGTCTTGGTATTTGACTGTTGCTTGTCGTAGGTCTGTGTGGCTGTAGGGGTTCGATCTGTAGGTCTGTCGAGTAGGGGTCACAGCTGTGTTGAGGTCTTAGCTGCTACTGTCCTGAAAGGTCAAGGTTGTCACTGCTACAGTCCCGAAGGGCCAAATCCACAGACTTCTGGAAGGTCCCGAAGGGCCAAATCCACAGACTTCTGGAAGGTCCGGAAGTGGCCTTTCGAGGTGTTGCTCACGCTCCAGTCTTCCCCCGAATACAACGGACGGTCATTATTGCCGAATTTGGTGCATCTTTCGGTCTAAATTCAGCTATAATGACCGGACGTTGTATTCGGGGGAAGACTGTAGACCGGAGGCAAGTGGGCAGTCCAACTGTGTTAAGTCAGCCGTACCTAGGCGGAGTCGCACCTTGTCCAGTCAGCAGGTACCATGTGGGACTGTGTGCACCAAGGGCCCGGTGGAAAGGATCAGACCAGTGAGCAAGAGAAGTATAAATCAAGAGGCAGCGTCCAGCCATGCATTCATTTCTGCAGCGAGCCATGCGGAAGCGCTGCCCTAGCGTCTTGTGTGAGGTGGTCTGCAGTTGGCCGAAGTCGAAGTGGGTTGTGAGGAAGATTAGAGCAGCCATCGCTGCTTGTAGGTAGGCGGCGGCCATAGAAAACTGAAATTAGGGTTTCGGGGTCAAATTTTATGTTTTTTGATTTTTTTTTTTTTTTGCCTGTTCTTGTTTTGGTTCAAGGTTGGTGTGTGCCAAATTTTGTGTCATTTGGAGAATTGGAATTTCCTCTGTTAAGATTTCTGAAATTTCTCAAGATTTCTGAAATTGAGATGTTGGGGAAATTTCATGAAAATGCACTTTTGCCTTGCTGTTTTATATGTTTTTTATTTTTTTTTTTTTGATTTTTTTTTGCAGTTAGTTAGTATGGTCTCCACTCTACGAAGTGGTGGCAAGTTTGATTAAAATGACCATTTGGTTTTCATATAAATGGCATGGCAAGTGGTCTGAAAATTAGGGTCTCCGTTAACCTTCTCTCCCTATCGTTAGGTGGTAGTGAGAGTGTGTGCGTGGGAGATCCAGGGAGATCCACAGAGGAGTGCATGTGTGCAGACGCCGCGATTACAGAGTCGGGGAAGTGAAAGTGTAGGCGCTTAGGCGCCATAACCAATCTGAAGCGAGGTTGAATCCGAACTGTGTCTCGACTTGAATATCTCTGAGTTTTGTGTGGGCGCGTGGCGCCAGTTTGAATTGTCATCGGATTGCATGCATGCTGTACAAAGAAGAAGGCGAGTCTGAATCCACCTTCAGATATGATCCCCTCAAATTGACCGCCCTTAGGTAATTCAACAGGATTGTAGAACTTTACTGACATTGGACTCTGATCCTTGTGTGCGAATTTGGGACACGTCCTTTGTTTTTGCGAATGGTGATTTTGTTTTGCAGGGTAGCAGAAGGATGATGCAGAGCAAAGCAGAGATCAACCTGCAGCGGCTCCTCCGGAGCTGTGAGAAAATGGGAGAGGAAATGGATGACGAGGAGCTTGCAGAAGATGCCAAATTAAAAAGCGTAAGCATGTGTCCTGGATGGTGTCTCGGAAATATGTTTTTTTTTTTTTTTTTTTTGCAAGTCGAGAATCGAAGTAGAAAAACCAATTACCTCTTTCGAGCCGTCGTCCTTCAGACAACAGGAATATAAGAAAAGACAGGAATCAAGAAACAGTTCACTTGTCCCCGATTCGACGCTCATCACCATCAAAATCCTGGCACAAAGGGAAAAAGTCCGAAAAACGAGACCAACGACATTGTGTCTTTCACAGAGCTTGATACAGGTTGCCGAAAAAGGCATTCTGAGGAATTTCTGACTCTT